GGGACAGTGGCAGGGATCCCAGGCTAGAGTGGTCCCTGGGAGGCGGAGTACCAGGGTAGATGGGCCAATGGGGCTGATCCCAGGGGTCCGGGAGGGGGGGGCAGGGTACCAGGTAGATGGGCCTGTGAGGCTGGTGCTCCCCATTCCCAGCCCCCCCAAATCCTCTCCCCCCTCCCCATGCCAGGGGCTCTGCACACACACCCCCTTCCTCAGCTGTGCCAACCTCAGGGCTCCCCTCTAGCTCACCCATAAGATACGGGCTGGCCGGGGGGAGGTGCCCTGCAGTCGGGGGGGACATAGACAGGCCCCTGCTCCATCCATCCTGCCCTCCCCCCACCAATGGGGTGCTCAACCCTGGCCTGGAAGCCGTGGGAGGGGGGGCGATGGACTGTGACGCAGTGCGGGATGGAGGAAGCTTAGCTAGATTAAACTCGATGCGGGGGCCAAGGAGGGGACCAGCTGCCTCAGAGGGGTGGGGAATGGGACAGGGGACCCCATGGAAAAAGGGGTAAACTTTTCGAGATAGTCAAGTCCCAGGCAGACTGCGAAGAGCTACGAAGGGATCTCCCCAAACGGGGTGACTGGGCAACAAACTGGCAGATGAAATTCGATGTTGATCAAGGCAAAGTAATGCACATTGGAAAGCATCGTCCCAGCTCTACATATACAACGATGGCGTCTAAATCAACTGTTCCCACTCAAGGAAGAGATCTTGGAGTCAGCGTGGCGAGTTCTCTGAAAACATCCACGCAACGTGCAGCGGCAGCCAAAAAAGCGAACAGAAGGCTGGAAACATTAAGAAAGGGATAGATCATAATTGGAAAAGGTTCAGAAAAGGGCAACAAAAACGCTTAGGGGTCTGGAACGGCTTCCGTATGAGGAGAGATTAATAAGACTGGGACTTTTCAGCTTGGAAAAGAGACCACTAAGGGGGGATAGGATAGAGGTCTATAAAACCATGACTGGAGTGGAGAAAGGAAATCAGGAAGTGTTATTTACTCCTTCTCATAACACAAGAACTAGGGGTCATGCAACGAAATTACAAGGCAGCAGGTTTAGAACAAACACAAGGAAGTATTTCTTCACACGACGCACAGTCAACCTGTGGAACTCCTTGCCAGAGGATGTTGTGAAGGCCAAGACTACAACAGGGTTCAAAAAAGAACTAGATAATTTCCTGGAGGATAGGTCCATCAATGGCTATTAGCCAGGATGGGCAGGGACGGGGTCCCTACCTCTGTTTGCCAGAAGCTGGGAATGGGCAACAGGGGATGGATCACTTGTTGATTCCCGGTTCTGTTCATTCCCTCTGGGGCACCTGGCATTGGCCACAGTTGGTAGACAGGACACCGGGCTAGATGGACCTTTGGTCTGACCCAGTGTGGCAGTTCTTATGGTCTTATGGGGGTACTGGCCCCAGGGCAGGAACTGGCTGGCTCAGGGGGCAGGGAATTGGGCATGGGGCCTTTCCCCTCTAGGGGGCACTGACCCCAGGGCAGGGGACTGACTGACTGGGGGACGGGGCTGGCAGGGGCTGGATCCCTTACCAGAGATTAGATACTGACTTTGTCGTGAAATGCCACTTACAACCCTCCCCACCCCCTGCTGCACGGAGCAACATAAGCTGCAGCGGGGGACGGGGAGGCTGGTGGCGGCTACAGGGGCTGGGCGCTCAGGGCAATCCCAGGTCCCTGCAGTGTGTGTGGGGGGGGCTCTAGACATGTGTCCGCCCCTCTTCCCTGCCAAATTCTCATTGCAGAGTCATAGCCCCTGGGCCTGACCTCTGGCTCGGGGAGGGGAGTGGGGTTGAGGGATTGCGGGGCAGTGCTGGGAGTCAGGACTTCTGGGTTCCATTTCTGGCTCCCTTGCTGTATGGTGTTGGGCAAATCCCTGCCTCGGTTTCCCCTTGTGGAGAATGGGGACGGGATACTGAACTGTGTCCCTGCTTGGTGGTGGGGATTAATTTGCCTTTTGGGGGAAGAGACACCCTAGGAAGCCAGACCTGAGTGTGGGGTCTTGGGGTGGCGGGGGGGGGTGTCTCTCAAAACTCCTCCCTTTTCCGGGGCCTCTTTCCCTCCACAGCTCCCAGAACCCCACGGGACTATTCTGTGCACCCGCAAACTCCTGTTTAACCCCCACATCTCACACCTCCCTCCCCGACTTTGTCTGGTGATTCCCTCTTGGAACAAGGGAAGGGCGGGACACCGGGATAGATGGGCCCGAGGGGCTGATCCAGGGGGCACAGAGCGGGCGGGATACCAGGGTAGATGGGCCCGTGGGGCTGATCCAGGGGGCACAGAGAGGGCAGGATACCGGGGTAGATGGGCTCGTGGGGCTGATCCGGGGGAGCAGGACACCCTGCCCCATGCCACATCTCTGCCCTGGCCACCTACCGTCCGCCCCAGAGCCCCATGACCCCCTCTCCTCAACCCTGCCCCTCTGTCTCTCTCTCCCCCTCTGCAGACTGGGCAGGGCCCCGGGGCTGTCCCAGGTCACCGTCTCCCGCTAACCGCCCCACGCCCGCCGAGGCTCTGAGCCGGGGGGTGTCCCGGGCCATGGGGCCGGAGCCGCTGCGGGACGAGGAGGAGGAGGACGGGGCCCCGCCCCGCCACAGCCGCTTCGTGAAGAAGGACGGGCACTGCAACGTGGAGTTCGTCAACCTGGGCGAGAAAAGCCAGCGGTACCTGGGCGACCTGTTCACCACCTGCGTGGACGCCCGCTGGCGCTGGCTGGCCCTGCTCTTCTCGCTGGCCTTCGTGCTCTCCTGGTTGCTCTTCGGCCTGGCCTTCTGGCTGGTGGCCGCCCTGCATGGCGACCTGGGCCCCGCGCCCGCCCCGCGCCCACCCTGCTTCACCCAGGTCACCGGCCTGCTGGGCGCCTTCCTGCTCTCGCTGGAGACCCAGACCTCCATCGGCTACGGCTCGCGCAGCGTGACCGAGGAGTGCCCGGCCGCCGTGCTGGCCGTGGTGCTGCAGTGCGTGGCCGGCTGCCTGCTGGACGCCTTCCTGCTGGGGGCCGTCATGGCCAAGATGGCCAAGCCCAAGAAGCGCAACCAGACGCTGCTCTTCAGCCGCTGCGCCGTGGTGGCCCTGCGGGACGGCAAGCTCTGCCTCATGTGGCGTGTGGCCAACTTGCGCCACAGCCACCTGGTGGAAGCCCACGTCCGCGCCCAGCTGCTGCAGGTGGGGCCCGGCGGGGGCTGTGGGAGGGGAGTGGGGCCTAGTGGTTAGAGCAGCGGGCTGGGAGCCAGGACTCCTGGGTTCTCTCCCTGGCTCTGGGAGGGCAGTGGGGCCTAGTGGTTGGGGGGAGGGCTTGGAGCCAGAACTCCTGGGTTCTCTCCCTGGCTCTGGGAGGGGAGTGGGGCCTAGTGGTTAAAGCAGGGAGGGGCTGGGAATCAGGACTCCTGGGTTCTCTCCCTGGATCTGGGAGGGAAATGGGCTCCAGTGATTAGAGCAGAGAGTGGCTGGGAATCAAGCAAGACTCCTGGGTTCTCTCCCCAGCTCTGGGAGGGGGTAGGGTCAGGGGGCCGAAGCGGGCAGGGCCACAGATCCAGTGGCTGAGGAGGGGGGGCTGATGGGGTGGGTCTCCCAGCTTCCGTCCCATCACTAACCCCCCCCGCCCCGTCCCTCCCCCCGCAGCCCCGCGTGACCCCCGAGGGCGAGTTCCTGCCCCTGGACCAGCGGGACGTGGACGTGGGCTTCGACAGCGGCTCCGACCGCCTCTTCCTGGTCTCGCCCCTCACCGTGGTGCACGAGATCGACGACGCCAGCCCCTTCTACGGGCTGGGGCCGGCCCAGCTGGCCCGGGCCGACTTCGAGCTGGTGGCCATCCTGGAAGGCATGGTGGAGGCCACGGCCATGACCACGCAGTGCCGCACCTCCTACCTGCCGGGCGAGCTGCGCTGGGGCCACCGCTTCGCCCCCGTCCTGGCCCGCTGCCGCCGCGGGCGCTACCGGGTCGACTTCCGTCACTTCCACCGCACCTACCCGGTGCCCGGCACCCCCCGCTGCAGCGCCCGGGAGCTGGGCCAGCAGCGCCCCAGCCCCAGCCCGCCCAGCGCCCCACGCGCCTCCTTCTGCTACGTTAACGAGCTGGCCCTGCGCGAGCAGGAGGAGGAGGAGGAGGAGGACGGGGCCACAGGCGGCCACGGGGCCATGGAGACGTGATGGGACGGCGCCAGTGGGGAAGGGGGCTCGTAGGGCACCGGGCCGGGGTGGGTGGGGCAGATGGGGAGGGGTTGAGGGTCGGTTCCTGGGGGAGGTGAGTTTGGGAGAGTCCGTTTCTGGGTGTTGGAAGGATTGGGGGGCAGTTCCCTTGGGGGTTGGAGGTTTGGCTCCTGGGTGCTGTTGGGGGTCAGTTCTTGGGGGAGTAGGGAGGAAGTTTCGGGGGGGCTGGTTGTTGAAGGGGTCAGTTCTTGGGAGGGTAGGGAGGCAGTTTCTGGGGGACTGGGTGTTGGGGGAGTCAATTCCTGGGGGGCTGGGTGTTGGGGGCAGTTCCTGTGGGCTGGGTTTTGGGGGTCCATTCCTGGGGGCTTGGGGCTGTTCCTGGGGGCTGGTTGTTAGGGGGCTGTTCCCTGGGGCTGGGTTTTGGGGCGGTCAATTCCTGCGGGGCTGGGTGTTGGGGGGCAGTTCCTGGGGGCAGGGTTTTGGGGGGTCCATTCCTGGGGGGCTGGGTTTTGGGGGGTCAATTCCTGCGGGGCTGGGTGTTGGGGGGCAGTTCCTGTG